ACGAAGTACACTGCTGAGGGGAGCAGCGGGCGGGTCAGGAGAGATCTGCCACGCCATGCGGTCACCTCTGGGGCAGGCGGGAATTGAACTCATGAGGAAGCGGCTTTAGATTCTCAGTGCTGTGCTTTAACCCACTGTGCCACCAGGGAGGGCCGTTACTAGATAATTTTTAATAAAAAAATAACATATGATGTATAATATCCATTATATTAAATACATGTGTAAAAATTTATCAAACTTACATAATTTGTATAACTTATTATGCAATGTATGTTATTACTTATTATGTGTAACTTATTATTTATAATATATAACCTACTATATTATTTTTTAAACAATTAAGACTTAAAAACAACCCATAAACTTGTCTCCATATTATACATTAGATTATTCTTCTTATTACCACCTGGTACTAATATTATTTACAACCATAGAATAATTACTAAAATGAGGAAATTGGTTACAATATAATACATTTAATCTAATCTATAGACTTTATTTGATTTTACCACTTTCTTTTCTGCTAATGTCTTTTTTATAGACCTACATCTTAACCAGGTTCCCATATTTCATTTTTACTTTTCATGTCTCTCAGTTCTAGTCTGATGAGTGACATTTCCTCAGTTGTTCTTTGTGTCTGACATTTTTGAAGAGCAAGCTTCACCTTTTTAATTTTTGATGTCTGTTTGTCTGCAATGGAGAAACTTTGTTGATGGTTGTTGCTGAGGATGCTGCAGCAGTAGTACCATTTGGGGAAATTGATAAGACAGAGCTGGGTTCAAAGGAATCTTTATAAGGTATACATCTTCTTTAGTTTCCTGGAACCATTTACTTGGGTTGCGTCTAAGAGTCTCCATGACTAAGATACTAAGAGTATCCACATTTATAGCTTTTAAGAAGCAAGGAGAGAACTTGTACAAGAAGGGGAAAAGGCAGTAATGGTAGTAGTTATAGAAAGGAAGGAACTAAAGATGAATCACAGACATACTGTGTTGAGCTGGTATTCAATTTTAAAGAGGTTACACTGAGGGAATTTTCACTTAATGAGCATCCAAGCATGTCAGGCATTGTGCTGAGTACTTTGTGTATGCTGTTTTTATTTAATTATAGTAATTTTTGAATATACTTATTTTTAGTGTGATGAAATAGATTTAGCAAGTAAATGGGAGAGTCAGAATTTGAATCCAGGTTCATT